AGTGTGTTTCATTAGTCAGCAGGTGAGATCTATTGCTCATAACATTTTTTAAACAAAACAAGTTGTCCCTCTTCTCTGTGTGTGTGTGTATATGTCAGTGGATGGAGAGATTAGAAAGTAGGATAAAGTGGATAGGGGAAAAGAAGACTTGTTTGTCTCTAATACATTGGCCTTAAGAGCAAGAATCTCCTACTTCTTTTTAAACGCTGTATTACTCATAATATTAAGAAAAAGAAACTATCTCTTCCCTGTTTGTCTGTCTCTCTCTCTATTTTTATTTCATTCTGTCTATATATTTCTTCTTTTTTTCTCCTAGCACATTTTCTCCCTTGTGGAAAAAATGACTCTACTTTCTTTCTTGATGGCTGTGTCTAGACTGCCAAGTTTTTCCCGCAAAATCATCTTCTTTTGTGGAAAAACTTGCCAGCTGTCTACACTTGCCGCTTGAATTTCCACAAGAACACTGACGATCTCATGGAAAACTTTTCCATTAAAAGCATTTGTGGAAAATCATGCCAGTCTAGATGGAGCCTTGTGGTTTACATCAGGAAACTGAGTGCATTTAGGATCTTTCCGCGTTTCTGGTCTTCAGCTCTAATAACGGTGCAAATTTCTCAGGGAATCTGTTGTGATAGAAGTCAGCTGGGTAGGCCACAGCCTCTCTGGGGTTTTGGTTTGTCTGTACGGCATCTGGGCAGTGAGATTCCGTACTTCGGGAAAGCAACTCCCCTAATCTTTGATGGAGTTATTGTGCTAGAAGTAGCACCCTAGACAGGCTGCCCAAACCCATCTGAGACCTTAGCTTCATAAACAGATGTCTATCCAAAACCACAGCCTGTGCTGTTTGGTTCTCACTGAAAATTTTGTCCTGCTAGCTTGATCAAAGCTAGCATATGTATGCCCACTCAAGCTGCAAATTATGCCTCCCATCTACAGGTTAGATGCATCCATGGTAGAACTCCAAATAACTTTCTTTTCCAATTCATTGATATTTATTATATCGACAGTGGTTGATAGGCGCCGATATGACAAGTTCCCAACCTCAAAGTCTTCCTTTACAGTTTAAGAGAGCTTCAGGCAGAAAGGATATGTCTACACTACATAGAAGATCAAAGCTGCTGAATGAGCGGGTCTAGAGAAGACGCTAATTGTAACAGAGGGTATGTCTGGACTACAGGGTATTGTCGACAAAAATGGACTTTTGTTGACAAACTATACCTACGCCCACACTGCCTTTGAGTTATGTCGACATAACGTCGACAAAACTCAGCAGTTTTGTCAACGTATGTAAACCTCATTCTACAAAGAATAACGCCTTTTATTGACAGAGTTCTGTCGATAGAAGGCATTATTGCATCTATACTGTCCTTTGCGTCCACACTGTTATGTTGACAAAGCGGCTTGCTTTGTCGAGAGAACTGGCTGGAGTCTAGACATTCTTTGTCAACAGAAGCTTTGTTGACAGTATCTGTTGACAAAACTTCTGTCGACAAAACTCTGTAGTCTAGACATACCCTGAGAGGGGCACTCTGGTTGCTGCCAGTAATCCTGCTTCCACGAGGAGTGAGGGAAGTCAAAGGGAAACTGTTCTCCCTTCAACTTCCTGCAGTGTGGACAGGGCCAAACGTTGAGTTAAGATATTTCCTCTTCAGCTACGCAACTGACGGGGATGAAGTTACGTATGTTAATTCGGCCTTACCCCGTAGTGTAGACATACCAATAGATGGGCCATTTCTGTCATTCAGTAGGGTTCCGTGCTCTTGGGTCACCCATATGGGATGCTGAACCCCAAGCTTAAATGAGTTGTCTACTTTTTATTAGAGCATAAGCTTTCGTGAGCAAAGACTCACTTTGTCAGATGCATTTCCACTGTATGCATCGGACAAAGTGGGTCTTTGCCCACAAAAGCGTATGCTCCAATTTATCTGTTAGTCTATAAGGTGCCACAGGACTCCTTGTCACTTTTGCAGATTGAGACTAACATGGCTACTTCTCTGCTACTTTTGATTGACAATTTTATTTTTCCAGGGGAGACATGCAGTGGTGTATGGTCATCTACTTCAGATTTTTGGCAGTGTAACTTGAAGTACAACTGGAGAGCAATGATTGCACCAATATTTCTTCTTCTTGATACAGATTATGGAGAAAGCAGAAGGAAGAAATGGAACGCTCATTGTGGAATTCATCCTCTTAGGTTTTGGGAATGACCCAGAATGGCAGCCCCTCCTCTTCTTCGTGTTTCTAGTGATCTACCTTGTGACTTTGGCCGGAAACCTCCTCATCCTTGTGCTAGTGGTAGCTGACCAGCACCTTCACACCCCCATGTACTTCTTCCTGGGGAACTTGGCCTGCTTGGAGATTTGCTACAGCTCTACCATTCTTCCCAGGTTTTTGACCAGCCTCCTGACTGGAGACAGAAGCGTTTCTGTGAAGGGCTGCATCGTGCAATTGTATTTCTTTGCTGTCACATCAGCAACAGAAAATCTGCTGCTCACAGCCATGTCGTATGATCGGTATCTAGCAATCTGCCATCCCCTTCGCTACACTGCTCTGATGAACGGCCCGGTTTGCATCAAGCTCGTGGCAGGGTCTTGGATAGGTAGCGCTCTCAGCTGTGCCATAGTAAATAATTTCTTGTTCCGATTAACGTTCTGTCATTCCAACGAAATTGACCATTTCTTCTGTGAATTTGTGCCAATGGTAGAGCTGTCCTGTAGCGACACCCAGATTGTTCAATTGCTGGGGTTTGTTGTCGCTGTCTTAGGGGCACTGGTGCCCTTTCTGCTCACCCTGGTGTCCTACGTTTGTATCATCAGCGCCATCCTGAAAATCCCGTCCAACATCGGGAGGCAAAAGGCCTTTTCCACTTGCTCCTCCCACCTCATCGTGGTGACGCTTTACTATGTGATCGTGATCGCTGTCTACTTGGTTCCCATCGTCAGTACTGGGAAGGTAGACCAAAAAATATTCTCGGTCTTCTGCACAGTCCTGACTCCCATGGTCAACCCTGTCATCTACTGCCTGAGAAACAAGGAGGTCAAAGAATCCCTGAGAAGAGCTATTAGTAAATTGGTTGCTTTGAGAAACAGGCATAGAATTTGAAAGGGCAAAGTTCAGTGTCTACTACAGTACTGAAGAAATGATTTAGTTTCTTAGACACAGTCCATGTAAGACCTTGAGAAAAGGGTGAGATTTCTTCCTTCCTTCCTTTCTTTTTTTCTCTATCTTTCTTCTGCATGGGTATTTCTACACTTGCATCCTCTTTCGAGAGAGGGATGCAAATGAAAACATTTGAAATTGGAAACGATTCCAGGATTTAAATATCCTATGCTTCATTTGCATATTCGAATTGCGCGCTATTTCAAAATAGCTTAATTTTGAAATAACAGACTCTGTTACGATGTGGTTATTTCGAGAGAAAACCCTTCTTTCGAAATAACCCTTATTCCTCATACATTGAGGATTACCAGTTACTTTGGGAGAAAGGTTCTCTCTCAAAATAACCGCATCTTAACAGCCTCTGTTATTTCAAAATAGCGCTACAATGTGAAAATGCAAATGAAGCACAGGATACTGAAATCCCAGCTTAATTTGCAATTTTGAATGTCTTCATTTGCATTCCTCTCTCAAGAGAAAAGACAGGACTATGTAGCACTTTAAAGACTAACAAGATGGTTTATTAGGTGATGAGCTTTCGTGGGCCAGACATATTGATTTGAGGAAGTGGGTCTGGCGCACGAAAGCTCATCACCTAATAAACCATCCTGTTTGTCTTTAAAGTGCTAAATAGTCCTGTTTTTTGTTTCAGCTACACCAGACTAACAAGGCTGCATCTCTATCACTTCTCTCAAAAGAGTGTGCAAGTGTAGACAAACCCTACATGGACATTACTACCCAAATTCTGCAAGGAGTTTCACATTTTTGAAAGGTTCTGGGTCTCTTCCCCTCCCATTGAACCCATTCTCCATGGCTAAGGGGTCTTTCTTGTCAATTACACTGCTGAGGAGTAGGTGACAAATGTTGGTACTAGTGAGTGGACAACTGTGATCGGGCTGTTCCCTGTGCAATTCTGTAGCTGGGTACATTAAAAATTGAAAATGTTTGGGTTTGGGTGTTTCACTTTCCTACCATGTGAGATTTCCTGTCTATGCAGACATCTTTGCAGGGAAAAGACAACATTAAAATATCTCTATCTATGCTGATCATAATATAGACCTGGCTACAAATAAATAAAATGGAGAAAAAAAATGAGGTTTTGCCAAACATTATTCTGCTTAGTCTGATGTCCCTCCTGCACCCAAAGGAAAAGAGATTAGTGAATTAAAATCAATGGCTGTGTCTAGACTGGCCAGTTTTTCTGGAAAATCAGCCACTTTTCGGGAAAAACTTGCCAGCTGTCTACACTGGCCACTTGAATTTCCGCAAAAGCACCGACGATCTCATGTAAGATTGTCAGTGTTCTTGCGGAAATACTATGCTACTCCCGTTCGGGCAAAAGTCCTTTTGCACAAAACTTTTGCGCAAAAGGGCCAGTGTAGACAGCTCAGATTTGTTTTCCGCAAAAAAGCCCCGATCGCGAAAATGGCAATCGGGGCTTTTTTGTGGAAAAGTGCGTCTAGATTGGCACAGACGCTTTTCCACAAAAAGTGCATTTGCGGAAAAGCGTCCGTGCCAATCTAAATGCTCTGTTCCAAAAATGCTTTTAACGGAAAACTTTTCCGTTAAAAGCATTTCCGGAAAATCATGCCAGTCTGGACACAGCCAATAAGAAAAAATAAAAGAGGAAAAAGCGATGAAAAGTGCCCCCCCAACTTTGGAAATCAACATTCCTCTGCCTCATTTTTAAGAAACAAACAGGTGAAAGAGGACAGATCACGCTCCATTAGAAATCATCAATGCTCCACCTGTATTGGCCTCACCCCAGTGCTGGGCCTGGCACCGTGGCCTTGGTTGTGACCTGCGTCCACTAGGAATTGGGAAAAAGATACCAAACTCTCATCGTGCTTTACCAGCATTTAGACAGAAGCAAAAGCATCTGGATTCACATCAGAGAAAAACCCAGCTGGCTGCTCTGTTTCAAACATCTGTGGCATTTGGATTTAAATAACTGATGCAGACACACAACAGAAGAATTCCTGGATGGACTCGAAACTGTGCCTACACGAACATATCCCACTGGGGAAGGTCGTCTGTAATTAGGCCCTTTGGGTGTTAATTAACAGCAACCTTGATTGCATCATGGACTCTGAAATATTGCTAGTAAGTTACAGGGAGTTTTCAATAGCATGGACCAAATTGTGCCCTTCTCGTTCCATTGAGGTTACATTGGGGTACAACAGGGACATGTTCCAACAGAGCCAGGGGTATGTTCCAATTGATCTCTATACACCACAGCTGTGTCTACACTGCATCCCTTTTACGGAAAAGGGATGCAAATTAGACATATCGCAATCGGAAATGAAGCGGGGATTTAAATCGCCCCCGCTTCATTTGCATAAACATGGCTGCCGCTTTTTTCCAGCTCGGATCTTTGCCAGAAAGAAGCGCCAGTCTACACGCGGATCTTTCGGAAAATAAAGCCTTTTCCAAACGATCCCTTATCCCTCTTCAAATAAGGAATAAGGGATCTTTTGGAAAAGGCTTTATTTTCTGAAAGATCCACGTGTAGACTGGCGCTTCTTTCTGGAAAAGCTCCGAGCTGGAAAAAAGCGGCAGCCATGTTTATGCAAATGAAGCAGGGGGATTTAAATCCCCGCTTCATTTGCGATTGCGATGTGTCTAATTTGCATCCCCTTTACGGAAAAGGGATGCAGTCTAGACACAGCCCACTGGAGCAAGTGGAATTCCTCCATAGTTTTATGTATTTTCACTTCATATTTGGGATCATTCGAAGTTCTCTATCGTCTCACCAGAATGGGCCATAAATAATCCAACCATCAATAAAGGGAACACAGAAATGTTATATTGTAACCAACCCCTACTGCAAGCAGATGAGGGACACAGTTATAACACCCACTAAAATACACCCCACACCCATATAGCTGGGGGACTGGGTTTAGCGCCTTGATTTCTCTCCAAATGGTCAGAGTAGTCACCGTGTTTCTTTGCCTAAAGGTGCAGATAGAAACTAGTGAGAGTTTCAAAAGCAGTAGGGACTGAGATATAAAAAACGCACTCTGGCTCCTAACCACCTAGAGGTGCCTAAATCCCAGAATCCTGCCCCGGTGGGATTCTCCAAACCTCCATGCAGCTGCTCCCAAACTTTGCAGGAATCTAAAGACACCTTGAAGCCTCCTTTTTGGATTCTGTATGTTGCAGAGGCTTCTGTCTGTCTCTGCATAAGGGGCTGGAGCACATGACCTACGAGGAGAGGCTGAGGGATTTGGGCTTGTTCAGTCTGCAGAAGAGAAGAGCGAGGGGGGATTTGAGAGCAGCCTTCAATTTCCTGAAGGGGGGGTCCAAAGAGGATGGAGAGAGGCTGTTCTCAGTGAGGGCAGAAGGCTGAACAAGGAGCAATGGTCTCCCGTTTCAATGGGAGAGGTCTAGGTAGGATATCAGGAAAAACTGTTTCCCTAGGCGGGTGGGAGAAGCGCTGGGATGGGTTCCCTAGGAGAGGGTGGAATCTCCATCCCTAGAGGTGTTTAATGTCCTGGCTTGACAAAGCCCTGGCTGGGTTGATTTGGTTGGGATTGGTCCTGCCTTGGGTAGAGGACTGGACTTGACGACCTTCTGAGGTCTCTTCCAGCTCCATGGTTCTTTGATTCTATGTGTGCTGTCTGCAGGAGATTGAATTCAACTCCCTGGTTCAGTGATTATTTACCTCTTTCACAGCTGCACATATGAAGAGACGCAGGAGAAGAGAAAGATAGAGCAGACTTAGGAGTTCTTCTGGGGAGAGGACTCCATAGACTATGGCGTTTCTTTACAAGGTGGAAGACTGACGACCTCTCCACAGCCTACGGCAGGAGGGAGGAGAAGGGTGGGTAATGAATATGGGTCTTCACACCAACTGCGCTCGTCTAACCCCCTGGTAAAATGGTATGGGGGGAGAGTAAGACAATGTTCCCTCTATTTTTTTCCATTCTTGTGTGGAATACATTTTGTGATGTGCACAGAGGAATGTGCAAATGTGCACCACCCATAGAAACACCTGCTGCTGGCCATACAAGCTCTGCTAATTGTCTGGGTGGCACTGGAATCTCTTCTGTGTGGCAGCCCACTGCACCCCCACACTCTGGGGTCTGCCCTCTCTGGGTACTCCCAAGTCCCTATGCCCAGTTTGCCCCACGGACCATCATCTTCTAACCCCTGCCCCAGAAGCAACCAGCAGCCTAACACAGCCAGTGAGCATTGGCATGGGGGGTGTGAGGGGGCAACTTGCAGCCTTCATCTGCCCTAGCTGCCTTCCTGCAGCCCTGGTACCCTGAGGCCTTGTCCCAGGCCCTGCAGCCTGGGAGCTCGTCTGGCCAGAGGTCCCCAGCTCTGCCTGCCTCTCCCCAGGCCTGCTGTAACTACAGCCCTAGTGCTCTCCAGGATTGCTTCAGGCCCCACAGCCCTGCCTGCCTTCCTCAGGCCTGCTCTACCTTCAGAAACCCTCCTGCTTCCCTAGCAGCCTGGCCTCTCCTGCTCCCCAGCTAAAGCAAGAGGGTTCGTTCTCCCTCCTTATTTATACAGCTCTCAACTGGGCCCTAATTGGCTCATACTGGCCACAGCTGCTGGCTTCAGGGTTCAACGGCTCCAACCCTCTCCCAGGCTGGGTTTTAGCCCCTTAGAGGGCCAGTGAGGGTCAGATGCCCCGTCCCACCCAGCTACAGATCAGCACAGAACCCAACCCAACCCAACCTCCTCACTCACTGTGACAGCAACATGGTTTGTCTACTCTTCTGAGGCATCCCTGAAAAGAAAGAGGGTCCTATTAAGTAGAGAACAAACACAACCAGCTTCAGAACCACACTACTGATGTGAAACTCCATGAAGAATTTGAACCCTGGTGTTCATGCTTGGACGTGGGTCTGATAAAAATAAACCACTTTCATAAAGACTGTCTCTGAGAGAATCAAGTTTTGCGGAATATATTGAAAGAAAGAAACAAACAAACTCAA